GAAAAACTGTCTCCAGTCCCCAGAAGGGAGGATTCCTTGCTGTTAATACAAGAAAAAAAAAAGAAAACTCACATCACTATTTCAAAACTAACATCTTTCCACAATCATATTTTTAAACATAATGATAGACACTTTATATTTTACAAAATTCTTTCTACAAATAGGACCTAGAAGCAACTTGCCACCTCAGTACAAAAGCACGTGCAGGGTAGGTACAATAATTGCATTATACATTGCTGCAAAACATTCTCTTTAGCTTTAAATGTGGCAAGTGTAATGAAAACAATAAATGATTTAAAATATATATGTCAGAGAGGAATAATGACATTCAAACATGGAATTTCCATCCTGAGCTGTAAAAATGACAGCAAGTTTGACTCCTGTTTAAACCTTTTCTACTGACATATTTTTTTCTCCTTAAAATAGATCATCCATCGCTATTGTTTAAACATTAAGTATCCCAACTCTAAAAATCTGCTGAAAATGCTCTACAGACATGTTTTCAACTATTAAACAGTTCCAAGGTATAAGTAAGAGGACTGGCTTTGCCCAATGGAAATGGCACACATAAACCAGCTGTGCAGCAGTATAAAAAAATCATTGGTCTCAAAGGAGCAACAGAAAGAATTTTATTGCCAGGAGTGGGTGTCTGTTCTGGTTTTACTAACACTCAGTAATGCATGCATGAAATCTCATCCAGCATGGTACTTATGTGCTGTGAAAACAATGTTGTCTGCTTCCTTTTGCTTGACAATTCATCCTGTGTATGCTAGCAGCTGCCTTTATGGTGAAGATAAAAACCTTTAGCAAGGTGGAAGGATCAGGTTTGTGCTCATTGTGTTGATCTTACAGCCCCTTTTAGCCTGTGAAAATAGCACAGTGTCTAACTACAAACCAGCAAGATAATATATTATATGGAAATGCTTATATTTCCATAATATAAGCATGTTCCTCTGGTTCCTCTACGTAACAGTAGTATCTTTTACTGAGAGGTCACTGTCATCATAGAACCTAAAAGCTAGAAAAAATAGTCTAAAAACTCTTATACAAATACCAGCTGAATTACTAGTGCCAAACAGCTTCTGGCAATTTGGGTTAGGCTATCCAGTGTCCTATAATGGGAAAAAAGGAATCGTAGCTTTTTTTTTCTTTTCTTTCCTAAATAGACTTATTTTTGGATTGTAGGATCAGTTCTCTTCTCCTTCCAAACTAAATGAAACAGCTTGGAGAAGATCAGTTAAACTATGAGAAGTATATTCACATCTTAGGGGATCAAAAATATTCTGCCAGACATTCCACTAGCTTTTTGCTGTTGCTGCAAATTATTGTCACTCAGTGGAAGATGAAAAGGAAAGCAAACACAATTAAAAAAAAAAAATAAAAATGAAGTGGAAATCAAGAATACCAGGAAGCTTTGATCCATTTTCACTGACAGTATCAACCTGAAAATCCATGTACAGAGTCCTACTTGCAGGAAAGGACTCATTCTCCTAGGTGCTGCATTAACTCCACCTTCTGGCTATCTGTTCTAAGGAGATATGTATCATCTATTCTGTATTTCTCGTAACTTTGGTATATCAAATTATGGCAAAATAAAGCATCGCTTTTTTCCCTGTGAAGAGCTATGCCAGATAGGCCAATATAAACGCTTTGTCTCCTTTTATAGGAATAAATAAACAGCATAAAAAATTCTCACAGTTTATGCTTTGAACCTTTCATAAATTATTTATCTCAGCAGTGTCACTTTGATTATTTATTATTTACATACTGATTTCATAAATGAATACATGAGGCAGTGTAAAATAGCTAATAAACCTCCACCTCAGATGTTCACAGTATAGGACTATCAAAGTCTATAGCAGATAAATAATCAAAACACAAGTAGATGAAGAATGGAGTAGAACCTTTATAGCTGAAATGCTTGATGAAATGCTCTTCTGTCTTCCTAGTTTTATGTTTTTCGTGACTGGGATATTAAACTAATTTGGACAATAAGGAGTTTTAGTGAAAGAAAAGTTATTACATAACTCAGAAGATGTAAAGTTATTTTGAATTTTAAAAAAATCTTGCTTTGTTGTATCTAATTAGAAATCACATTTTTGCATTTGCAAAAGACACAAAACAGTATAAACAGCATCATAATTACCAGACAAGTAAGTCACTCTCTAAGTAATTTTGGCACCAATATTTCTGAGTGTTTTTTTTTTAACAGCTTAAAATATTTAGTGACAGAAATTTTGTGGTTCCATACCGTTCCCAATATTCTGATTATATATCACATTTGACCCCACTTATGATCTTGTGTGAGAAACTGTTTTAGGAATTGTTGTTACATTTCCCAATCAAAGGATTTCCTTTAAAAAAAAGTTTCTGACCACACTTCACACAAATGTACCAAAGAGAGTCAGCAAACTTTCAAAGGGGAGGTGCCAAAATCATCCCTTCTTTTTGCTAACAAAGGTTAAATATGCCAGCAGGAACTCTGTAGGAATGAGCAGATGCTGGCACCCAAAAACAGGCACATGAGATCAGTAGTTTTTTGCCTCTCTGCCAGGCAGGGGCAGCCACTTCCCACTGAGTTCCAAAGTAGTAATAAATAGTCCAACTATAACTGTTTGTGCTATGTGTGCCTACTCCGGGACATGGAGGCTGAGAGATACTGACAATCTAGTGTCATCCCTGCCAGTCACCACAATCACTTAATGCTTCCAGATTTCATCAGGTAAACATGGTATCTTCGCAATAGCCACTAACAGAACAAAGCTTCTAAAATACTCAAATGAATGGATGGAATAAGATGACTCTGACTACAGAGCTGAGAGTTAACTGTATTCCTTTTGTTTGCTTGGCAATTCACAACGTTCTGTTATGTGCAGGAGCTTAGATTTGAAAACTGTTATTGTGAGGGTAACAGTAGGTGAGGGTTAATGCCGACTTTTGAACAGAACTAGCTGTGTATTTTCTGCTGTTTTCATTTGTTATGTAACAGTATGGGGATGTTTTGCTAGCTTCTGTACTTCTTGCAAAGTCCTGGAAGTGCTCAAAGTGCTCTCTGCCCACCTGACAGCCATGAGCAGTACAACTGGAGAGCAATGCTTCAGGAGTAACTGCAGAGAGTGCAGGAGAAGCGGGCTCTGGTATCTAACATACAATCATTTCAAAACCTCAAGCTCCTGAAAATCACCGCCAGGTAGGAGATTATTCTGAAGAAATATTTCTGTATGCTTATTATGCTATCATATTGTTCTCCAGAAACCCATTTATGGATACGGTCAGATATTCAGCTAAAGAGATGTTCAGTATGACTTAACACAGATGTTCTTACATTCATTACTAATGTAGGTGTTTTGAACAATATGCTCCTGTGGTGAGCCCAACCATCAGGGACGTGTTTGGAACATAACTTGACACAAATGTCATGCTCAAGCCAAAATCCCAGTGTTATCATGATGTATCTTTATGTAAATGCAGTTGTAGTGTTTTCAAGCAGAATAGTTGGAAAATCTCTAGCAATTCAGAAAAACAACTGACCATGATGGGAGTTGAAAAGAAAGCTGGTGCCCAATTCAGCAATAAAGCACTATATCTATTTAACTGCATCTCAAGAGAAAAATCAGAGAAAGCTACTGCTGCTGCTGAGTCCTTGCAGTAAACTCATCACAGTTTGGACGAACTGCATTTTTTATGTCACTGAAACTGTATGCTAGAAATTGCAACAAATTCTTAAAATTATCCTTTTTTTTTTGTTTCACAGCAATAGTGGGATGACCATTCCAACAAACCTTCTTATCAGATACGAGGTTATAGCACTGAAAATTCTGAATGTAAACTGAATGTGAGCTGAATGTAAACTTATTCAGTAAATAATTAAAACATCCATATTATCAAAAGCACTTGCATGCTTATATAACTGTACCTACAATAAGACTTTTTTCTAGGATTGATTATGACCAAAAAGAAAGAAAAAGCTAACATGAAAACCCATAAATAGCAACTGTTTATATTGCAAGTCAACTCTTCAGGAGAAATAAATGTATACTTCTAAGTATTCTTTATAAAAGTGTAAAGATTCTGTCACTACCAAGACAAAGACATGTCTATCTATTATAAACTTCACTTCCATTAGTAATATTGTGAAGACTCCTAAAACTCACTGTTTGGCACCAAAGCCAACTAGCACAGTCTGGCTATTTCCAGACTACTGCTACTACTACTGTAAGAGAGGGTGACCACATCCAGATTATTGGGGATGGTTTCTAGCCTGTGATACAGTGCTTCAAAGTCATCTGGAAAAGCTCTAATTCACATGGGTCAAAAATACATCAGAAAAAAACTTCACAGGAGGGGAGATCTGTTTGAGCTCCCATCTTCCCAGTACCAATTACTGATCCATTTTCAAAGTTACTGCCCACATACATCCCTTGACAAATCAAGCAACAGCAACAAAAATTCCTGCAACACTTAATTGACTGGCTAACATTCCTTCCCAGTGAAAAGTAACATGCTGCTAAACACACCCTTATTATCCTTAAGCCCTTATGATTAGTGTGAAAAGGGAGGGAGTCATATTAAGACAGCCCCTATTTCCATTAAAATAATGATGCTCCAATTACTTAGACGTAGGTGACAAATATTTCTGTACTCAGCTAAACATATGACAGTAACAAATTTCCTATAGCTATAAAGGATCATAAGAGATTTCTTGGAATAAAACATTGAAAATCATTCTCCATGTTTTGTGGTCATGGTCTTGTTGTTTGATACCAATAGCATGGAAAATGTCTAAAAGGAGTATTATTTATTGAGACTTCTTACTGATAAAAAGAATAATGATACTACTAACCTTTAATTCTTGGGCAGACTTCAAACAAACCTCACACCATTTCTAAAACTAATGGCAAAACAACCAAATGCCCCACTTCCTCCAACAAAAACACAGGCAGCACTCCACATTTGAGCAAGCAGAAGATGTGCTCCAGATGTAGGGAACCAAAACTCACCTTTAGAGGAGCGGAAGTGCTTGCTGGGTGCCGTGAAGCCCCTTGTCCCATGCACGTTCACAGCTGCCACACGGAACTGGTACCACCTGCTTGCTCTGATGTCTGACAGCTGAACCCGCTCATCTGTTGTCTGGTGGAGAAAATGTCATGGTTAAGGTCTGCTTAGATGGGGCCAGTTGTGCTCTCTGCAATGTAACACCCATCAGTCAGATTGGGAGGTAGCAGACACACCTCTTCAGTACACACAAGTGTCAGTAGAACAAAACCACGTCGCCACCAAATTTTACAGTGCATTGCAGGTCTCTTCTAGAAAAGTGAATTTAGAAAATTGGTCAAGCGTTAAATTCACAAAATGATATTTTCAGTTATCATAACCTTCACCAAACAGATTGGACTTAGCTAATCAACTGGTGATTTTTTAGGGAACTCATTACCCCATATCAATGGACTCATTTCTCCAGACCCTAAAGAGTCAGGCTCCAAAATGACTTCACAAAATCCAACACTGAAAAGCCACCAGCTGGTTCATAGGAAACACAAAGCCCTCAGTTATGTGGGGTGAAGTGTATGAATCGTCCTTCAGATCTTTGGCACTTAGGTCAAAATGACATAGTAGCCTTAACTCTTCTCCGCAGACTTTTCTTAGGTCATAGGAGATGATCTTTTCTCCAACAACACTAACTGCTGGCGTGTCATGAATTCCATTTCCAACATCTGCAGTGAATGCCTTAACCACTCACATACAGAAAAAATAAAAACGCACTCTGAACTCTTTCAGTAGGAGGTGCTTTAAACACTCTTATTCTGACGCCTGTTTTTATTCTTCTTTAAGCTTTTAAGCTGGCTTGTACACTTTCTGATTTTTTTTTCTAAGGTACAAACATCAGAACTGAACACAGCCTTCTGATAACAGCTCAATCTCTACCAAGTACAGAACAAATAGTGTCTGTAGAGCTCATCAGAAACTATTTGTGGCTATTTTTCATTTAACAGCGCTCACTTTTGCTGTTTTAATACTTTAATCAAAAAACACATAAGCTTGAAGTAAATGTCTTGCACGTCTAAACAAACAAGCTGCACAACAAATACTAAGTATTATTATGACCCAAGATAAAATCTCATTAACAAATTTACTGGCATCTATTAATTTTTATAACAGTTGTTTTCTATAATTTCAAAAACCTACCATATGAGATTCAGCATCACTTGCAATGATGCCAAGTACTTCCAGAAGGACAATGCGGTGATCTGAGAAACTCAACACAGCTTCACAAAGTGCCTGACAAGTCTGCTAACCTTCTACAATAGGGTGACTACACCAGTCAACAAGGGAAGACCAATTGAGTCTACCTGGACTTCTCTAAGCCTTTGATATTATATCTCACATTACATCCTTATCTCTAAATTGGAGAGATAGGGATTTGAAGGCTGAATTATTTGGTGGCTAAGAAATGGGCTGGATGGCCACAGCCAGAGAATTGTGGACAATAGTGCTATGTCCAGGTAGAAGCCAGTAAAAAGCAGGATCACTCAGGTCTCTATCTTGGGGTCAGTGCTCAATCCCACAGTGCTCTAGCCAGTGGGATTGAATGCATCCTCACAAGTTTGGTGATGACACCAAGCGGAGTGGTGCAGTTGACACAACTGAAGGAAGGGATGTTATCCAGAGGGACTTGGACAAACTTGAAAAGAAGACTTACATGAACCTTCAACAAGGTCAAGTGCAAGGTGCTGCATTTTTGTTGGGGCAATCCCAGATACGTGTACAGATGAGGAGAAGAATTCATTGAGAACAGCCCTCCAGAGCAGGACTTGGGAGCTGTGGTGGGTAAAAAGCTGGACGTGAGCTAGCAGCAAGCACTTGCCAACATATCCTGGGCTGCATCAAAGGAAGTGTGGCCAACAGGACATGATAGTCACAGTCTACTCTGCCATCATGAGGTTTCATCTGGAATACTATATTCAGCTGTAGAGAAGCCCAGCACATGAAAGACACGGAGTGATTGGAGTGGGTTCAATATAGGGCCAAAAAGAGCATCAGAGGAGTGGAACACCTCTCTTATGAAGAAGAGAAGCCTTCATGGAGACCTCATTGTGGCTTTCCAGTACTTCAAGGAAACACAAAAAAGATGGACAACAACCTTTTACACAGTCTTATAGTGACTGGGCAAGGGGTAACAATTTTAAATTAAAAGAGTGGAGATTTAGATTCAATGTAAGTAGAAAATTCTTTACTTAGAGGGTGGCGAGACACTGGAACAGGCCCAGAGAATTTGTGGATGTCCCATTCCTGATGGCATTTAAGGTCAGGTGTGACAAGTTACTTGGCAATGTTTTCCAGTGAGAGCCATCTGTGTCCGTAACTTAGTACTAGGTGATTTTTAAGGTCTTCTCTAAAACAAGATATTACATTATTCTATAAATTTCTGCTTTTTGCTTCCATGCCAACCTAAATCAGACAGTCAAAACTTCAGAAATTTGCTCCAGCTCTCCAGCAACAGTATTTTCAGAGACTTGACCAATGAAGTTTGTAGCTATTATTCTGTGTTTAATCCCTTCAACTTGCTGACAAAGAAAATTCAGGAAAACGAGTAGCAGGATTGTATGTGCATATGAAGGAAATAGGTGACCCATTGTTGCTGTCACCACTACCGTAACACATCACCCATTGCCTTACTGTGCTCACATCCACTATTTGATCTCCATGAACATTCAGCAAGCATCAATGAATGTCAAAGAGTGTAATTTTTTCTGTATGGAGGAATTCAATTCCACACGTTTGCTTCATACACTCTTCCATGTACTATGCCATTTTATCAGACAGCTCTTCTGCTGCTGTCTGTCGCATGGCAACAAAATGTAAAGGAATATTGGCAGGAAGGTTCAGCCTTTACTGCCATGCCACCAACATTTGCCTCTGACATCATGTGACAGCCTAATAAAATAGGCAGCATCATTTTAGGATCAGTCCTAGTAGATAGAAGGCAGGCATAATGTGAAAAGACTTGATTGACTCTACATTACTCAACTGAGAAATCTCAGTTGTCATTTCTTTGCACCAGCCCAGTTATTCTGTTAGGGCTCATTTAAAACACCAGATTTCATTTCTGTCACTCTTTGTGTGGCGATTGTGAGATGTAGGATCAAATAATGTGTCAATTCACATAACTAAAATTACTTTAATTTATGAACAGGCCCTAGGCTTGCTTCTTTCACTATTGGCTTTGTTGGCAAAGCTCCTATTAGTCTCACTGGCATGCAAGACATGTATCTGTAACTAAAGCTCCTGCATTATAAAAAGCTTTGGTCTAACTAACCTCTACAAAGACTTAACATAGTTGAAGCTAAATACTGCTGAGAAAGAGCTAAATACTGCTGAGAAATCTTATACTATTCTGTTAGTAATTTGAACATTTTTTTCAGTTAGTTCTCAAAGAACTATTAGAGTAATTATTAAAAAATAATTCTAATAATGTCTTAGAACACAAACATAATGTTTTGAAGAATTTAATCAATGAAAAACAAAACAAAAAGATCAATCCTAAACAATCATGAGGAAATAATTAGGCTGTGCATTTATGCAATTAACCTAAAAGAGGAAGGTTTTACAGTAAGGTTCCAATCCTAATACACATTATTTGGAATAAAATAATGTAAAAAATTAGTCCTCAAACACAAACACCAGGCAACACATCATCACCCCAAATTCAACAAAAACAAATGTATGGATGCAACTTTATATAAGAAAAGCATGGAATACCACAATCTGGAGAGTAAAGAGAATAGCTTGACATCCCTTCTCAAGAGGGCATCTCAGGTCCAAGAGCCAATGGACCAACCAGTGCTGCCACATTCAAGAAGCAATGACAGTTCTAATCCTTTCCCAGCAGTCCAAAAATAGTTTAGGTTCCAAGTGCCCTCCTGAAAAAAGTCCCTCATCCTGTCTTCGTTCTTGACTTCAACACACCTAGAGAAATCTTTCCCTGCTGTTCATACAGCTGACTTATGACTAAAGTACCTACCCAGAGCACAGATGACCTATATTCAATCCCATCATCTGTTTGAGAGGGTAAAAGAGAATACTGCCTAGTGTCTTGAACGTTGCATGCTAGTTTGAATTAGGACATTTTATGGGCAAGACTTTTCCTCAGAACAAAGCAAGCTGAAGGTATCAACAACTTCTTGTAAGAAAAGGATAAAATTTGTTAGGATAAGGAGAATGAAAAAATAACATTCAGCAGTGTAGAAACTAAGCAACTCTGATGGAATTTCTGCATCACTACTCCAAGGATTTTGGTGTGTGCCTTTTATATATAAGTAATAATTGGTGTAAGAAGGTCTTTGTGGCAAAGACTGGTACAGATGACCCTCAGCTATTCTAGGTTTACAATAATCAGTGGAGTATTTCAATGTGTTCACTCTATTTCTATCACATTATCAATCTTGAATTCTATAGTGCAAAGTTTTACTGGAAATAGTAGGGGACAGTCTCTCTCACCTTGCTGAGTCACAGCTCCACAACTATCTTTTGAAATAATTCAAAATGATAAAGAATTTGCAGTAGACAGTGAAGAGATATCATCCAGACTGTAAAAAGAGCTGAGTTTATATTTTCTCTGTCAAAGAAGAAGTCTGGCAGTGCCACATCCACTGCTCTATCAAAGGACATTAGACCTTCCATAACTAACATTTCTGCTTTCTAACATGATGAATACTTAAAATTCTTTTTAATGTTAAGATTAAATGTTAAGAAAATAACATAGTAATAGATTGTCTCCCTTCTTAAAAAGAAAGCACCAAAAGAGAACTAATGACAATATAATCCAAAAGACATTTACTTTTTCAAAAAACACTTTTTCAATGCCAAATAAAAATTTATGATACATGAGAAAAAATTTACATAATAACTCACAGTAATTAAGTAGAAAATGCCAGTGTTTTTGAAAACTAAATCCTTCAAAAAAGTTATTTAAAATTATAGCCTCACCTGTAAATGAATAGTTAAAAAGAAAAACAGAAAACTATGAAAAAGCTCTGACAAAATACTATGAAATTTCTTCTAAGAACGTGCAGACAAAAACTTCACATAATTCCAGGCATATAATTTTGCAATATACAGGCATAAGGAAATTCAGAGCCTTGTTGATCTACCTCTGCTCTGAGCATGCCCTCTAACAAAAGTAGGAAAAAGTAATGAAAGGGCATCATCACCCACAGACAGCCATGCCCCAGGAGTTCTTAACTGAATGGCTGAGCTCTTCATACACATATAATCAAGGTCTCAGAGCCCAGTGTTTTGGAATCATAGAAGAAATATTCTCAGTTATATGAATAAGAAAAGCCTGGAGGAGATGCACACTGTCACTTTAGTCAAAATGGACATTCACCTTTGCTGCTGACATGGCATCCAGTCAAATCCAGAATTTGATTGCCCAGCAGGATGTCTAAAACCACAAATGCCATTGAGGTACATGACTATAGAGACCAAAATTTTTATTACTAATGCCCCTCAAGGGTGCCCAGCCTTTATGCCCCACTAAGTGCACATGGTTTGCAAAGTCAGCCAGGCATCCTAAAGCTTGTTTGGGACTGACTTCCCCAGTGGGGTCTGTCTCATAATCCAACGTATGTCTCTCAAGACATAGTAGGGACATCAAAGTTCTCAGAAAGAAGTCAGTTGGAGGAGTCTTCTCCTGCCATAATGAATAACTCAGCCCCTTCTGCCTGCATGTTGCACACTGTCAAGAAAGTTAGCTATCAGGATTCTTACCATTCTGAGAAGGAAAGACATTTCTGAAGCCCTGTCTCTCGTACATCACTGTGAGAAGGAAGATATTCATACAAACTCCACCACTGTATATAGTGCTTGTTCCAGAAATGTGCAAGAGGTCTATTTCTGAGATGAGGAAAAGTGTAGTAATATGCTATCTTTGCTGAAGAACTGTTTCTACAGCTTAGCTACACGGCATAACAGCGAATAGCAGTTCACATCTGGTTTATGTTTGCTAAGTAGTATTCTCCTAGTAGCATAAGCAAGAAGCTGTTTTCTGAGTATGGAGAACACAGACTGAAGACGTGAACCTCAACTGAGAGACAAAAATAAGTCACTGTAACTTTATCAGGTGTGAAGTTGTGCACGTTCCTTGGGATGAAATTGCACAGGCTGTGTTTCATGCCAAGCTCTGCTGCAGGTGACCTTCCCTGATCAGGACTCTAACACTGTAACAGTCCCCTGTAGTAAAACAGTAAAGCTAAAGACTTCACTTTTGAGTATTCAGTTTCACAAGCTTGACACTATTTTAAGATACCTCCTTCCTACGCAACGTGAACTGAGAATGAAAACAGACTGCCACAGAATTTAAACTCCTTATTTTATTTTGTGGATTGTTCCCTTTCTTTTTTTTTCCTAGCTGTAATGATCTTTTGCAGGTCTTTTCAGAATCAACATTTTGCTTTTCTTGTCAGCAGAGATGATGGTGAAGCAGTTAAGATAAATGACTGGAACTCTGCCATCCAGGTGGACTGTCAGCATGTTAAGAAACAGATTGAAACTGGGAAGAAACCTAAGTGAAAATTTATGCTCTGTTGGCTGCTTCCCATTAAGAAACATTTGCTCATGAATCTTACATTTTCAGCCTGGATTGCCCTGAGTGATAAAAGCATGACATCATAGGTCCTTCCAAATTAGGAGGGCAACATCTGAAAAAGTGACTTTATAGATAAAAAAAGGTTTCACTCTTAACACTTATGCTTTTAAAAACTGAATGGTCTTTTGATCAATTATATTTCTTAGCATTTTGCTAAAATTGAAGCCATGCCTTGGAGGACAGGCACTGGCTCACACTGACTTTAAAAGGACTGTCTCTCATAAGATTCCTTCAGTAGATTTTGGTATCTAATTCTACATTTTTCAATAGATTGGTGGCTTTTTGGAATACCTGTCTGAATAGATAACAAGTATGTGCTTGTACAAAAGTTCTACTGAGCGCCTTATGGAAATCAAGATTCCAGGTACATCTATTTACAGGTAGATTTATCTATTATCTATCTACTATCTACAGGTAGATCCTTACCTATACAAAGTAAACTTACAAAATAAACTCATTTTGGAAACACAAATGTCATTTCTGAATGTCATTTCCTTTGGGGGCAGGGAAAGAAATATTTTCTTTTTTGCTAATATATTCACACATTTGTAATGATGCTATTTACTATACATACCAAAAACATTTGATGTTTCTGTTACTTAAAAACTGAAAGTCAAAATACTGAAGTTCATTTTTCTTGAATAAGTCTTTTAAATAGCTCATTGAGCAGTGGAGGAAAGCCTTGGAGATCTAGACCCTGCTTGTGGCTTGTGACTTAGAGAGACACCAAAAAGGGACATCTGTGCAACAATCTCTCAGTTTACATGATCTAACTCTTCTCTGATCTGAAGAAGAACTTTAAGGAAGGTATGGGTTCTTACCATTTTACAAAGAACTGACCTGTGCTACAGTTTGCCAGTTAGTAGCATCATCCTCGCTAGGATGGATTCCTTGATTCCACCTCCTCTGAACAACATAAATCACAGGCTCAATGGAAATATTGAATTTTGAAGACCACTTCACCTCCAGGTCTCCAGACTGGAGTTCTATGAATTTTAACTCTTTCCGGGGTTTCAATGGAACACCTGCAATAGGAACACAAAGATGGAAATATTTGAATAATTTACAAAATCAGAAAAAAAATATCTTGAGGTTAAACTGTATAAAAAACACTAATAAAAAAGAAGCTGGTTGGTCAGTTCAGAAGAAATAAAGAAGGGAACGGGTAGGGTGACACAAGCAGAAATTTCTGAAGTCTTCATTACTGGCAACAGTAAAACTAAAAAAAAAATCTTCAAAATTATTTTTTTATTTCATTTAAGAACTAAAAGTAAGGATTTGAGAGCTGTGAGTTAAAACTGATCTCAGTCTCCATATATGTTTTGATAACCTGGAGAAAGATCCTTTGATCTCAAGCTGAATCAACTATACTGCCATTCAGATATTCACCCAATTGCGTCTTTGTACACTTCTCACCATGGAATTTTCACAGCATCACTTGGCAACCTTCATTTCTTTCCACTTTCCACTCTACCCTTAACATTACAAAAATTTCCCTGGCTTTGTCTTCTTTGCTGCATTTTAAACACAGTACTTGTGTTCATGGATCATGGACAACAGATTGTATCTTTCACCTATGGAGGAGTCTTCTGAGCACTGCAGGATTGTTGTCACGTCTTTCATTGCTTTCTTCTTCAGTCTAATAACTGCGGTGCACTCCAAGTAAGAATTTCTTTCTCTTCCTCTGATTATTCTTGCAGTTATACTGTTGAAACTCTTCCATTGGACCACAGCCCTTCTCCAAAGCCATGTCTAAAACTAGACACAGACCTCAGAAGAGCCTTTACCAACGCAGACTAGAGTAACAGAATTATTTTCAGTCTTTTACATTCATCTGATATACGTAAGTATGCTGCTTGCCTTTTCCTGAGCAGCATGCAGCCATAGTGTATGATGTGTCTGTCACTCCAATTTTTATATTTCAGAGTCTAAGCTGTCTTTATATTATTTAGAGTAATTTCTCATTTCATTATGTTACTGAAGGACAGTTATTTCTGTTGCTTTGACACTTGATAGCATTGTCTCTCTGAAACTATTTGTAGTAGTTTGAAGGAGAATACCAAAATCAAATTTGGCATCTTTTGATTAAATCACCGTATCAAGCATTTCCCTAGATAGACATTAGAAGCTCATATATTTAATTGTGCACCATTTTGTCACTTTGGGATATGCTACACACAAGAATTCTATGCTGAAATATAAATCTTCTTATTAGATTATTGTGTGTGCTTTATCTTTATATTTATATATTTATATTTCACCATTTCATTGGGGGCCAATAAAAAAACAACTGCATACACTGTTTCAATAAATTGTAATATGAATGTTTCTACTCAGTCCGTTATAGATGGCTGGAATAGTGAATCTTATATGACCAAACTATTTTTATGTTTTAAGAGGTCTTCTTCTAAATGTGATTCAATAATTAGCCCCAATTCAATACAAGTAGATACTGTCACTCTTGAAGAAACCTAAAATCAACCTATGGAAAATTCAGTATATAAATCCAGTATCATCACAGTTTAAACCATGCGTATCATTCAACAGTCAGCTGTCTTAGTCTAATATAACTAACATTATAGATCCTGTCAGTTCTGATTTCTATGTTTCAAAATCCTTCTTTAATTACAATGTACAATAATCCTACAATTTGCATGTTAAGAAAATTCCATCTGCTCTGCATTAGGGGCAGTTGGATTTGCTTGACTGCAAGTAACTCAGCCTTTCTGCTGTCATGTAATTGCGTGCAGATGGATTTCAGCAGCACAAACTAGAGCATCACACAAGTGCATTCTGAAACTTCTGTAGAACCAGCATCATCAATTTCATATCCGGATGTGTAGATCCAATCACTCTTCAGTGTGCTCTTTATTATGCAAATGGATAACCCTTTCATTGTGCTGGGACAAATTAGTCCTTCAAAGTAGTGTTTGAAGAATTTAAACCACTGACTGCTATATGTGTACAGCACCAAAGCCCATCACCACAAAAAAAAAAGTACTTAGAAAAGGTGTATTTCAAAACATTCATATGACTCTGTGCTACTAAAAATACTTGTATACCCTTCTATCATAAGAAACTGTACTTTAAATGTTGATTTTCCAGGAATTCCAAAAGCTTTCATAGAATGGTTTCAGATAGTAAAAGCCTCATTCATGGCATCAATACAATTCTAAACACAATACAGTTGTTCAAAGATGCAAAGATAAGCACCTCTAAAGCTGTGCAAATTTTTTTAAATATGCAATTATTTTTTGTTAACCATGAAAAAACTTTTAAACTATGGATGACAGTTCTGGCTCCAGCCGTCCTATTATGACACTGCCATACCATCTTAGCTTTTAAACATCATGATCTTCTCTTTATAATTCATTTTGCTCATGTCTGCATTTTGGTCTGCTGTAGGGATTACTCCCTAACACATTTCAGACAAAATTAATTAGGCTGGATTAGACAGTACGGACCCTGAAACTCTGATCAAAAGAGATCGTGAAAATTTCACTGAAGTTGAGACATTATCACATTGGAGAAACCACTTACTTCTGAAAAGGAAAAAGGTGATGGGTAACTATTCAGCTGTAACCAGATAAGTGTGAAAAAAAAGATACATGTTCATGCCCTTACTTGGAGATGAACATGTGGGTGTTAGACAATGCCACTGTGATCAAGCACTGGACAATAATTTCTCTTTCTTTTTGTTCTATGGTTTTATATGACTTTATTTCTAAGCAGAGATATTCCTCTCATTTATATCCATAGAATACCAAGTTAACCTTAGATATTTAGATAGAATTATCTCCAAATAGAAAAAAAAAATTAAGTAGGCAATGGAAAAGCAGAAAAATTTTCTGAAGTCCTTTACTAATTGAGACAACACAAAGGAGGTGGATGGGGCAGATAATAGAAGAGTGAGAGAAAACATTTCATATCTCCAGCAAAGGAAAAAAAAAAAAAAAATTGAAGATTGTGTAACTGAGCAGTAATACTACTCCTAACAGAGATGAGAAAAATGCAGTGATACAGACAACTTGATCATTATTGAATACAAGTCAATTAAAAAAATAAAAAAGGAAAACAAATACAGTCAAGCCCAAAAACACTTTCAACATACAGCTTTGGTGTAAGCATACTTACCTTGCTATCCTTTTAGGATTTGGCTTTTACACTCAGTACTAGAGGGCACGCCCAGTTATATCAGGTATTTTATATCCATTGTTGTAACTTTCATCTCTAGAACTTGATGAACACTGAAACTCTACCAACTTCTGCAGACTCTTAGATTCAATCTGAGTTCACTTTCTAGCTGTGAGTGCTGTCAAAATGGTAAGAGTAAGTACTAGATGTGTTCACTAGATCTCAGTCATGCTTGCAGAGTTTGCTTTTTAGTGACAGTAAGGTCATTTACCCTTGGAGGAAATGAATAACAAGCCTGTTCAGCTTCTATTTGTTCTTTGTTGCAGAAAGACAAGTTGAAGAGGCTAATTAGCTGAATTCATCAGCTGAGAAGGCAGTACTGTATTGGGTTTGACCTTCCTCTGCAAAAAAATATATGTTCTTACAAGAAAGCACCACCTGCAGATAGGTGATAGAATGCTAGAGAAGGTTAATTCTGCTACTACATAATTAGGCCAAGCAAAAGCAGACTGCGCAGTGTGCAGTTATACAGTGCATGATATTTGTGTCCCCCTCCAAAAAAATGTGTCATCTTGTTTCACTTGTTTCACTTGCTGCTAGTTTTGCTTTCACCTTCTTTGGCTGCCACATTTACTAGAATGCTTCGCAGCATCGTTTAGTGATTGTAGAATGTACCCTGCCCATGTAAACCATTAATTACACATGCAATACAAATGCTGAGTTTATTGCTCCATTCAATAGTCTCAAGAAAATGACAGAAATAAGTAAACAGTCCATTTAAATAATTTTCATTTTAAATGTGGATGAGAGTATATTAATTCCTTATAGTTTGACAGGGCTGCTCTGATGTCCCTTGAAAGAAGAATTTCCCTTCTACACTGGAAATCTGGATCATAGTATCGTTTGCCATTCAAACTACTTCAAGTAGTGTTTTGATTCGTTTCATGCTTACTCAAACTCAATGACATCTATATCAAATTTTCTCCACTTATGTAAGTAAATATGACAGTGTTGGTGGCCAGCGTTGTACATTCAAACTCAGGATACAAAAGTCAAAGTATATTATTTATGACATGCATTCTCATCAGTAGGGACATTTAAAAATATGCATTAACATTTCAGTTAAAAGAATTAACTTAAAAACAAATCACCATCTCCTTCACATATTTGACTTCCAACATCAAAACAGGCCTGATATTTGTTGTAATCAAACATACACAAAATCATGATAGCCTGCTCTATTTCAAGTACTGTTAGCAGGTTTGTATGCCAGGAAAGGTCAACAACTCTGACCTCATCCAAACATTCATCCTGTGTTTTCAGTGTTGCAAACAACTGGAGATCGGCAGATGGAAATAAGACTGGATTCAGACCTAAGCCTGAAATTTAGTCCAGAGTTCTGCTGATTGCTCTCTCCAGGGAGAGCCCAAGCTATCAGCAGCATACCTGATTAGTATTTATTTTTTATCACTGAAGTAAGAAGAATGGATTTCTAACAAAATGTTCCAACTCCATTTAGCAAGAAAATTTCTTTCACAAATGGTCATTGCTTTGTGTTAGAAGCATGTTTTAAAACTATTTCATACATAAAGCTTTTTAAAAATAAACATAACAAATTAAAATCTGGAGGTTGTATAAGCACAAATCTTTCCTAAATCTCTATGCTCTTGCTGATGGATGGCAAGGACAGAATCTCAGGACTCCAGACAAATAAAAACTTTTTGAATAATTCATGGTGCCTTAAATTTAAATAATGCAGTAATATATATGTAGGCTTTATCTAGGCTGCTAAGTACACCAACTCCAAATTCATTACACTGATTTGTTCTTTGGCTTTGTTACCACACAATTCCTATTCAGTAGTGCTATCTTTTTGGCTTGTAATCATAAATGTCATTTGTGATTAATAGGACTTGAACTATTTATTGTTAAATATTTTCCTGGTGCATTCTCTCTCATCTGCATCAAATTAAGTGAGATTTCACCTAAACTGGCAAGTTTGTTCTGCATAATAGCCATATGCTTACATTCCACAGATTTCCAGATATGGCCTTCGTAAGGCAGAAAAAACAAATCAGAAACTGGAACAGCATTTTTCTTTGTCTTTCCATGATTTATGCATCCAGTCACACCTCCACAAGAACCTTCCTCCATGTCTTCTCCATACAAATTCCTATGAAATGCAAGTCCTAGTTCTCTAAGAGATTTTACTATGGTCAGAAGTTATTAGCCCGGCATAAGTACATATTAATAATAATTTCTACCTTTGTACAGGTTCTTGGGAACTTGGCATGTGTGACCACATCCATTGGAACAGCATTTCTTCACTCCAGAACATTCACTATCAGCTTCACAGCTTTCAACGCAGGCAGCTGCAAAACCACTGGCCTTTTCAGGTGCTGGGCAGTCCCCTTGCTTCACTGACAGGATGTATTTAAGGAATTCACAGCTAGTTAGGCATTCATAATTCTTCTTGGGGAAAAGAGGCTAAAGGAAAAACAAAAGAACAAAAGAATTTAAAAAAGTTTTCAAGAGGAAGAAAAAAAAAAAGAAAAAATGTTGTACATTTCCCAAGACCTCCAAAGATAATTTCAGATTTTCATCTTTTGCAAGACTATCCCTGAAGGTTTGTATATTCAAGTCCCCTCTAAAAAAGCATTCCAAGTGCACAAACACAAATTCCCTCAAGTATGATCACCATCTTTAATGGAATAAAGCTGTTTACATCTGCCAGATTTCTCTTGTTTTCCTCACATTGCCTAGCTACAAACTTGCTCAATAACAGATTTTTTAAAATCTCAAAACAAAGGGGAAGCAATGGTCAGATGTTTTTTTTTGTTGTTGTTTTGTTTGTTATTTTTTTTTTGACTGCTCCACATTCCTCCCTTCTTATTTCATGAACTCTATCCACAATATCTGATGTAACACCATGCTAGGAAAATAAGAGAAATCTTGCTTCCTTGCACTGTCTGAACTGAGTTGGTTAAAAGAAGGACATCTTTATTTTCTTGGTAACATAGTAATAATTACTCATAGAACTGGAATAAAATTTCTGATAAAAAGATCAGCAGAAAATACAGATCAAAATAGAATCATAGAATCACAGAATCTACTTAGAGTTAGAAGGGACCTTTAAAGGTCATCTAGTCCAACTCCTCTGCAAAAAACTGGGAACAGAGCTTAAATACTTTAAATTAATTAAAGCTCAAATAAATGCCACCTCTCGGAGAAATCAGCTCCTAGCTATAGGAGACACTGTTTCAAAGCATATACGTTTTACAGTATGTGCACTACTACTTCAGGCATTTGACAATTTTTTTTCCAGCTGTATTAGAAACAGCATCTAGAAGCCCATGGAGAACACTGTGTACAACACAGGGATTCCACCTCCTCTTTTAGCTGGTGCTTTATTTAGTTTGGTGTATAAACCAGATATGGCAATTCCCTCAAAGAGACCAGTGAAAACTGTAGGTAGTTAAACTGCATAACAGGGGTTATCCAAGTTTACAACCTACTCTCCATAAACCCATTCATGTAATTTCTGCAACTTTGTTGCTATTTTCCATATTCAAATTTTACTTTTTTAATTTATACTGCTTGCAATTTGTGGCAAAATGAGAAACAGTGTTAAGTATAAGGAGTCCCATGTGAGGCCTCCCTGAGTATGTGTCAGTTTATGCTCCAGAATCCAGGAATGTGCCACTAACATACCTCTCACATATTGTCCTATAGAGTAGTATGAAATTTTTGAATCAAACTCTTCATATATTTTAGTGACACAGTATAACTACTGCAATGACTGCCAAAATAAGCAGTCCCCTTTTCTCTCCTAGTCACCCCAGTGTTCCTTGGATATGCACTCATGCTGACCATACCTGATTTCACCGTGTCTTAAGAAACCAGAAGGAAATTAAACTTTTGGAAAACAAAGGAGACAGGCAAAATGTTTCCTTCTCTTCTTCATGTGAAGGTTACTTTAACAATAGCATACATTACCGAGATAAGGACTTATACACAACAACAGACCATGAGAAATACAAAGCTGAAGTTTTTATACAAAGTAAATAAAGATGAATTTATTCCCAAAGTTTAGTTTTCTCAAATGAAAACAGTCTGTATTAATACATTCAGATAACGTCTAAGGAGCTTACATGAGCTTGAAAGAAATAAAGGAAAATGATCTGTGTGTGTGTCAAGCAAATTTCAAATCCTAAAACATCACAAATTTGCAGCTACTTAATTAAAAACTTTACAGCTCCCTGAGGCATAATACATCCTCAAGGCTTCTCTTCCTCACCCTATTTCACAGCTCATTTTTCAGTTAGCTGCTAAATGTGCTGCTCTTCATTACTGGCCTTTGAAGTTCTAAATTTAGTTTCAACCACAAAACACTAATCAAAGAGGGATGCTCACTGTTTTTAACTACAATAGAACAGTGTTCTACAAATGTTTTCCTTTTAAACCAAATTTATACATTTTTACATCCATATCTGGAAACAGCCTGAGTAGGAAGTGATATATGAGGATGACATAAATTACACACGCTAAAACTGCTTTATTACACTTCTCCAGAATTTTGTTATATAAGGAAGCAGCAACTGATTCCAGTGAAAGAACTTGATTTTAATGAGAAATTTTTATTTGTTCTTCTAATATAACTAAATAGATTAGCATTCTTTTGATCCTTACTTACATGTAGCTATTTGGATCTAAAATTTATGCTTTTAGTTGAAATGACAACATTTCCTAATCAAGATATTTAAAACTGTTTAAACAAGACATGTTGTTCCATCTGCAAAAGAGCATTCACAGTGATGAAGAAGATGATAAATCAATCAGTTGAGTATATCAGTTAAGGTCAATTCTGTTTTTATAAGACAAGCTGAAAATCTTAATAAATGCACACTTTAATTGATTTGAATAAAGATATATCTATATAATAAAGCAACCTTCTACTGAGCTGGTGTTTTACTTTGTACTAAAAGCCAGTTAAGGTTGCTTCAAAACCAATCCAACTATCTCCCATTTTGTACTAGTTTAACTGATCTATGCTTGTTTATTCACAAGGTTATTCTGAAATGCTGTGCAGAAACAGTTTCCTTCAGAAAAGACTTGTTTCTGAATAATTATGAATTTTGATGCCTTTCTGCTGAATCTAGTTAAAATCAGACTGCTCTTCGCAAATGAAATGCCATCCTTTTTCCTAGCTATCTTGCACAAGGATTTTCACATTTGTGATGTTTTTATCCTTAAAAAAAAAAAAAAGAAAAAAGAAAAAAAAAACCTTTTCTTAAACATGTCCAGAAAAGGGAAAAGGTATGTGGGAGAAATAAAGGAGGTATTTAACAGCACCTTCTCAGAGATATTATGTGAGTGTAACCAATCAGTGCTTCAAACTTCAAGATAATTTAGTTAGGAAAAAAAACCCTTTTTTTTCCCTCAAACATATTATGGCTACATCATTACAAGTGTCCATAAAAACAAAAGAAAATGCTATAAACATCCCATGTTTGTTAACTGTCTCCTTAAAGCTCACACCTCTAATAGTGTAAGTGAAAGAGGCAGCTGGAAGAAAGTGAGAAAGAATGCCCTTGGGCTGACATACCTCACAGAAGCTTTGGCAATGGTTTTTCTTCAAGTCCCAGGATTCTTTGCAGGGCTCCAGGCACTAGGAAGAGTCAAGAGGGGAAAGTGTCAAGAAGAGAAAGAAATAAACATCTACAAATGACCCCAGTTTGTTCTCTCATTGTTTGTGTGGCCCATAGGAAGTTAATAACAGGCTTTAAAAATCCACTTCTCCTGAGGATAAGATTGTGTCATTGAGTCATGGTGTCAGAGCAAGGGCATGCCAAACTCTGTTGAGATTACAAGAAACATTTTCAGTGCTTCTTACAGTACAAGACAATTGCTCTTCTTATTTATATGCCATCCTATTTTCTGCATTACTGAGTCTAGGTCCTAATAACATTTAACATCATGTCACTGGATCACAGAGCAATGTCAAGAGTACTACTCTAAACTACAAAAATTTAAATCTTCTCCTTTCTGATCAGCCTAAAAATTAGACGGGGACATTGTCTTCCCATGGGAGAAACTATTTCAACAAGCTATAGAGTAAACTCAGCAGAGATTTAGCCACTATTCCTGTATAAATAGACAATGTTCACTGGTCTGTTAGCAAAATCACTTTATTTCAAGCACCACATTATCATTTTTTCACCTTCAATCTCTACTACAATGGATATACAGAGTTCAGATTCAAACACTGCAAATCTAAGATTCAAACTCTAAAACCTGAGTCAAACTTCTCAACATAAAAAAAACTTACTGCAGCTGAAACATAAATTTAAACTTCCATCCAGTTAAGTAAACAATCTTGGAAAAAAAAAAAAAAAAACATTGTTGGAAGTTAGTAGCATTTGTTCTTTCTGGTAATACTTGAAAGATAATTACCACACCAAAAGGAAAGGCCTATGACATGCAATTCTCTGAATCTGACACATGTTCGTATTATTTGTTTCTCTTATACATAGTATTAAACTGGAAGTATTTACATTTTTGTTAATCAAAAACAAGTACAAACACATACACACTATATTTCAGAACAGCTATTCTCTTGTACCATTAATGCGCTAAAAACATCATTTTTTTAGAAGATAAATGTTTTTCTTTCTAGTGACAAAGTCTAAAAACATAAAACCAATAGTCATACAGGTTACATAGTTTACGAATGCAAAATACATTTTCTCTCTGCTCTGTGTACAGGTATAGGCCAGTGACATGTGGTGTCCTGCAGTAGTCTACCATGGGACTGATGCTCTTCAACATCATTACCAATAACACAGATGGTGGAATTAAGTGCACCATCAGTAAGGTACAACTCGGCTTGGCCAATACCAGGCTGAGTGGTGCAGCTGTTACAATAAAAGGAAAAGACACCATCTAAAGGGACCTGGACAAGCTTGAGAAGTGGGCCCATGAGAACCTAATGAGATTAAATAAAGCCAAGTATACTTGGGTCAGGGCAATCCCAATATGTGTACAGACTGGGAGAAGAATTCCTTGAGAGCAGCCCTACAGAGAAGGACTTGGGTGTTCTGGTGAAAATTTGGACAAGAGCCAGCAGTGTGCACATGCAGCCCAGAAGGCCATCTGTATCCTGGGCTGTATAAAAAGAGGGATGGCCACTAGGGCAAGAAAGGTGATTGTCTCCCTCTGCTTTGCCCTTGTGAGGCCCCATCTTGGAGTACTGCATCCAGGTTTGGGGCCCTAGCAGAAGAAAGACATGGAGTTGCTGGAGTGGGTCCAGAGGAGGGCCACAAGAATTATCAGAGTGCCAGAGCACCTCTCCTATGAAGAAAGGTAGTGGGAGCTGGGCTTGTTTAGCATGGAGAAAAGAAGGCTCTAGTAAGATCTCACTGTATAAGGGTTCTTTGGGTAGACAGTGATAGGACAAGAGGAAATGGTTTAAAACTAAAGGAGGGAAGGTTTTTATTAGAAGTCAGGGAAAGTTTTACAATGAGAGAGAGGTGAAGTGATGGAACAAGTTGCCCAGAGAGGTTGTAGATGCCCCGTGTTCAAGGCCAGGTTGAATGGGGCTTAGGAGCTACCTGATTATCATGGCTTTGAGGTTTATTATTGATGTTCCACAGCATAACAACATACAGTACTGGCAGTTAAAGAGTTAATGCTGCAGCTTCAGTCCTGGAAGAGAAGAATGAATCACAGCTTCCAGAAGACTCTGTTTTTTCATTTCCATCTTGTGGGGAGAGGGAAAAATAAAACTCACTGGAAGTCATAAGACTATCTCTCTTTGCTCTCTGGTGGAACAGAATAAGAACTCTGGTTTTCAGAAAACTCTCTCATTTACTTGATTTATTAGATTCAATCCTAGCTAACTTGTATTTTTGCTATTGTAGTTAGTAAACTAAGTTTGTTTTCCTTCTCAGATCACTGCCACTGTTTTTTTTCCCTTTCATTCCATTTCCCTCCTTTTTGGGCCAGTGGGTCTGCTGTCCCCCTGTCACGGACACTGATCTAGTACTTGATCCAGTAGTTCGCTTCCCTGTCTGCAGAAGGGGACGTTGGAACTTGATGATCCTTGAGGTCTTCCTTGAGGGAGGTGATTGTCCCCCTCTGCTCTGCTCTTGTGAGGCCCCAACTGGAGTACTACGTCCAGGTCTGGAGCCCCCAGTACAGGAAAGACAGGGAGCTGTTGGGGAGGGTCCAGAGAAGGGGCACGAAGATGATCAGGGGACTGGAGCACCTCCCCTACGAAGACAGGAGGAGGGCGCTGGGCTTGTTCAGCCTGGAGCAGAGAAGGCTGTGAGGTGACCTCACTGCAGCATTTCAATACCTAAAGGGAGCCTACAAACAGGAGGGAGAATCAACTCTTTGAAAGGGTTGATAACTGCAGGACAAGGGGAAATGGTTTTAAGTTGAGGGAGGGAAGATTTAGGTTGGATGTCAGGGGGAAATTCTTTACAGAGATAGTGGTGAGGTGCTGGAACAGGCTGCCCAGAGAGGTTGTGGATGCCCCATCCCTGGAAGTGTTCAAGGCCAGACTGGATGGGGCCCTGGGCAGCCTGGTCTAGTATTAAATGTGGAGGTTGGTGGCCCTGCCTGTGGCAGGGGGATTGGAGATTCATGATCCTTCAGGTCTCTTCCAACCCTGGCCATTCTGAGATTCTGTGATTCTGTGTGTCCCTTCCAACCCAAGCCATCCTATGATTCTGTTCTATGATTCTATAATTATAGTAATGAGGGAGACTGACTTCTTAAACAGTTTGATAGTGATCGGACAGGGGGGAATGGTTTTAAACTAAAAGAAGGAGATTCAGATTAGATGATAGGGGGAAGTTTTTCACTGAGATGGTGGTAAAGTACTGGAACAGTTGCCCAGAGAAGTTGTAGATGCCCCATCTCTAGAGGCCAGGTTGGATGAGGACCAGGGCAACTTGATCTAGTGGTTGGCCACCCTGCCAGAGCATGAGAGCTGGAACTAGATGGTCTTTAAGGTCCCTTCCAACCCAAGCCATTCTATGATTCTATAAATACACATAGTGGTATTTTAGACCCAACTTTTAGCTCTTCAAAATTCACAATGTACTATACACAAAGTAATTAGAAGGATACATTATAAAATGACACTGAAGTCAGTAAGTTTAATTAATTCTGGAGTATTGTTTGTCTTGTAGCAGTTATTGTACATTTGAGCGCCATTCCATCATCATCACAATTTTACAGCTCTTCTAATTGTCTGATAGATTTAATACCAATTTACAGAGATATAAGCGGTGTAAAAATAGAATGGGCAACATTTTGATCATGCTGGGACTCTATCAGTATTTCCCAGGGCTTGTCACGATTTCCATACTCTTACCTTCTCCTAATTCTTTTTTCACGGCTATGCAGCCACACTGACTGTATCCAAATCAGTATATCCACAATCTTGCCACAAGCTTGAGATGAGAATCAGGCACAAGTTCATGCTCAACTGCATTGTTGGACTACCCTCCTTGCAGGCTGTGGAGCAAAATGTTCAGCATGCCTGGAAGGAAATATCAAAATGCTGTGCACTTTAGAGGAACTGTTCTATTTGTTTCTACAACAATGTCTTTATCTACAGTGTAAGTAGGCTTCAGTGTTCGGTGTTTTGACTGATTGCTGCTTTGTTCAGTTAACAGGTAGGACTGCCCAAGATATTCGCCTGGAGTCCAGCACCTCCTGGTTTTTTGAATGGCACAACTGATGTGCACCTCAGCTCAGACATTCCAAAGGGAAGTCATACAAAATAAACAAGACCTGAATGGTATCCTGCCAACTGACTGTTCTCAGAATATTCTGATAATGCATCTATCCATAAGGCCTTCATTGTAAGATTAGTAAGTGCTGATTAGAGTATACACCTAATTACATATAAACAAAAAATCTTTCATATTTGCTTCACATTCCTGTTACATGGAGTATCCTCAGAGCACTGGACTTAGCCTAGCACCATGAGCTGATCCATACACCAATTGCCCAGCTTCAGTGGAGCTGTGTCATTCTCTAAGTTGGAGAAGAGTTGCTACCAGACACCAATGTTGTCAGAAACCCTGCACTAGGATTGTTTTGAACAAAGAGGAAAGAAGAGGAAAACAAAATAGAACAGAACAATTGAAAGGAATCTACAGAGATCACCAAGTCCAATTGCCAATTGTTCACTTTAGGGATAGCCAAAGGTTAAAGCGTATTGATGAGGGCGTTACCCAGCTGCCTCTTGAACACTGATAGGCATGGGGGATTGATCACCTCTCTAGAAAGCCTGTTTCATTGTTAGACCACTCTTACAGTAAAGAAATTTCTTCTAGTGTCCAGTCTGAACCTCCTCTGGTGCACTCTTCTGTAGTTCCCTTGCAGTGTATCTCCTGTACGCAAGAGAAGAGCTCAGCACCTTCCACTCCTCTTCCTTTCCTCAGGGAGCTGCAGAGAGCAAGGAGGTCACCTCTCTGCTTTCTCCATACTAGACATTTCAGGTGCCCTTGGCTCCTCCTCACAGTACATGCCTTCCATCCCTTTTGTTGCTCTCAACTGGGTGTTTTCAAGGACCTTAATGCCCCTGTTATATTGTAGAGCCTAGAACTGCTGCACATGACATTCAAGGTTAGGCTGCATCAGTGTCAAACA